AATTGTTGTTGAAATAATATCGATGCTTGTGGAGTCCCACAAGGGAGTATCCTAGGACCTTTGATCTCGCTGTGTTATGTAAGCGAGTCATACAAGCAGTGGCTCATAAACAACATATTATCCCTACAGTTTAGAAAGGTTGAAGCAATATTATCGGGATCAAAAAGAAAACTCAAAATGGTAAACGAACAGTTTTACTATTTGGGAATGAACCATCTCGTCTGTGACCTCAGTGAAATACCTTGGACTAACCCTTGACTCTTGTTTGTTGTTCTTTGGAGTTCTTTATATGAACACAAAAGATCACGATGGGCACGGAGTTCTTTAATCACAGAACATGTTAAGTGCGACGGAAAGTGAGGAAAAAACACGTTTACAGGATATTCAAAGGAAAGCTCAGAGTATCTAACAACAAACTTTGCAAGGATTAGGGATATAAGCCGGCAAGGCACTACAGGGAGAGAACATAATTTTATGATACGAGGCTTCAGCGGTCAGGCGAAAAACACTGTCTTCTTTACTGCTATAACAGACTAGCACAAGGGGTCAGACAACATCAAACCAGTTACGGTATTAAACACATATCAATCACCATGGTAACAAGAGCCGTGGACACATATCAGTCACCATGGTAACATTGGCCGTGGACACATATTAGTCACCATGATAACAAGAGCCGTGGACACATTTTGGTCACCATGGTAACAAGAGCCGTGGACACATCAATCACCATGGTAACATTGGCCGTGGACACATATTAGTCACCATGGTAACAAGAGCCGTGGACACATATTGGTCACCATGGTAACATTGGCCGTGGACACATCAATCACCATGGTAACATTGGCCGTGGACACATATTAGTCACCATGGTAACAAGAGCCGTGGACATATCAATCACCATGGTAACATTGGCCGTGGACACATATTAGTCACCATGGTAACAAGAGCCGTGGACACATATTGGTCACCATGGTAACAAGAGCCGTGGACCAGTGGCGTAGCTAGAGTGTGTGCCGCCCGGGGCGGCCCTTGAGTTTGCCGCCCCCCTCCCCCCGTGACCCTACAAAAAATACATATTGCACAGTGACTCACTCTTTTATATATATATATATATATATATATATATATATATATATATATATATATATATATATTAAATAGTTTGCCTTACTGTTGTCAGACAAAAGCCACCCCGATCAAAGTAGGGGGCTTTTGTCTGGGTGGCTTTCGTCTGGGGGGCTTTTGTCTGGGTGGCTTTTGTCGGGGGGGCTTTTGTCTGTACCCCAGTGAGGATAGTGTCTTAGTATAAAATCGCAATGCTGTGAAACAAAATCTTAATATTTAATCTCAGTACCGCAGCAAAAGTCACATCAATATTTTTTAACCAATACTTTAATATTTCTTACCTTATAGTATTATGTCTTCCAACGAAGTAAATAACTGGATCGAAAACACAAGAGAACTTAAAAGTCGTCTAGCCTCCCCTCGTCTTGTCACGATGGAGACTTGTGCAGAACTGAAGTGAATTGCTTGTAACTGGTGGATTGGTCGGCTGTACATGAACTGATATGACCCGAGACTGCATGGTTTTGCAGCTACTGGAGACGTTAATCCTTCCCTTTGTATCGGCGGCAAGTTAATCCTCGTCGTGTCTGACCTAACACCTGACCCACACCACATGAGCTCACTGGCGTACTTGTTTGAAGTTGTTTCCTTAATCCTCAACAGGTTACAGGTTGTGTGTGTGGCGGGGGGGCGCATAGCAAGGGTGTACGTAGCTCATGACGTGGCCGTGATGATGTGGGTCAGGTGTTAGGTCAGACACGACAAGGATTAACTTGCCGCCGATACAAAGGGATGGATTAACGTCTCCAGTAGCTGCAGATATGGGTGATGAGCAGACCCAAAAGTGCCGCCCCCCCAAAAGTGCCGCCCGGGGCGGACCGCCCCCCCGTAGCTACGCTAGTGCCGTGGACACATCAGTCACCATGGTAACATTGGCCGTGGACACATATTAGTCACCTTGGTAACATTGGCCGTGACACATATATCACCATGGAAACAAGAGCCGTGGACACATATTAATCACCATGGAAACAAGAGATGTGACACATATTAGTCACTATGGTAACAAGAGCCGTGGACACATATTAGTCACCATGGTAACAAGAGCCGTGGACACATATTAGTCACCATGGTAACAAGACCCGTGGACACATGTTAATCACCATGGAAACAAGAGCCGTGGACAGATATTAGTCACCATGGTAACAAGAGCCGTGGACACATATTAATCACCATGGTAACAAGAGCTGTGGACACATGTTAGTCACCATGGTAACAAGAGCCGTGGACACATGTTAGTCACCATGGTAACAAGAGCCGTGGATACATATTAGTCACCTATGGTAACAAGAGCCGTGGACATATTAGTCACCATGGTAACAAGAGCCGCGGACACATATTAGTCACTATGGTAACAAGAGCCGTGGACTATTGAGTCACCATGGTAACAAGAGCCGCGGACATATTAGTTACCATGGTAACAAGAGCCGTGGACACATATTAGTCACCACGGTAACAAGAGCTGCGACACATGTTAGTCACCATGGTAACAAGAGCCGTGGACATATTAGTCACCATGGTAACAAGAGCCGTGACATTGTTAATCACCATGGTAACAAGAGCCGTGGACACATATTAGTCACCATGGTAACAAGAGCCGCGGACACATATTAGTCACCATGGTAACAAGAGCCGTGACACATGTTAGTCACCATGGTAACAAGAGCCGTGGACATATTAGTCACCATGGTAACAAGAGCCGTGGACACATATTAGTCACCATGGTAACAGAGCACACATATTAGTCACCATGGTAACAAGAGCTGTGGACACATATTAGTCACCATGGTAACAAGAGCCGCGACACATATTAGTCACCTATGGTAACAAGAGCTGGACACATATTAGTCACCACGTAACAAGAGCCGGACACATGTTAGTCACCATGGTAACAAGAGCCGTGGATACATATTAGTCACCATGGTAACAAGAGCCGGACACATTAGTCACCATGGTACAAGAGCTGACATATGTTAGTCACCACAGTAAAAAGAGCGTGGACACATATTAGTCAATGGTAACAAGAGCTGCGGACATATATTAGTCACCATGGTAACAAGAGCGGACACATGTTAGTCACTATGGTAACAAGAGCTGGACACATATTAGTCACCACGGTAACAAGAGCCGCGGACACATATTAGTCACCACGGTAACAAGAGCTGTGGACACATGTTAGTCACCATGGTAACAAGAGCCGTGGACACATATTAGTCACCACGGTAACAAGAGCCGCGGACACATATTAGTCACTATGGTAACAAGAGCCGCGGACACATGTTAGTCACCATGGTAACAAGAGCCGTGGACACATATTATCACCACGGTAACAAGAGCCGTGGACACATATTAGTCACCACGGTAACAAGAGCCGCGGACATATTAGTCACCATGGTAACAAGAGCCGTGGACACATATTAGTCACCACGGTAACAAGAGCGCGGACATATTAGTCACCACGAACAAGAGCCGTGGACACATATTAGTCACCACGGTAACAAGAGCCGCGGACACATATTAGTCACCACGGTAACAAGAGCCGCGGACACATATTAGTCACCACGGTAACAGGAGCCGTGGACGCATATTAGTCACCACGGTAACAAGAGCTGCGGACATATTAGTCACCATAACAAGAGCCGTGACACATATTAGTCACCACGGTAACAAGAGCCGCGGACACATATTAGTCACCACGGTAACAAGAGCCGCGGACACATATTAGTCACCACGGTAACAAGAGCCGTGGACACATATTAGTCACCACGGTAACAAGAGCGTGACACATGTTAGTCACCACGGTAACAAGAGCCGTGGACTCATATTAGTCACCACGGTAACAAGAGCCGCGGACACATATTAGTCACCTACGGTAACAAGAGCCGCGGACACATATTAGTCACCACGGTAACAAGAGCCGTGGACACATATTAGTCACCACGGTAACAAGAGCCGCGGACACATATTAGTCACCACGGTAACAAGAGCCGTGGACGCATATTAGTCACCACGGTAACAAGAGCCGTGGACACATATTAGTCACCACGGTAACAAGAGCCGTGGACACATATTAGTCACCACGGTAACAAGAGCCGTGGACACATATTAGTCACCACGGTAACAAGAGCCGTGGACACATATTAGTCACCACGGTAACAAGAGCCGTGGACACATGTTAGTCACCATGGTAACAAGAGCCGTGGACACATATTAGTGTTTGTGGTCACACGTACAGTACCTCTACTGTCTACACGTATATCTAACACGGTAGGAAATAATCTTCCCATGAGCCTTTGGTCCAGTAACTCTTGGAAATATCACTATGGAAAGAGTTTATATATATATATATATATATATATATATATATATATATATATATATATATATATATATATATATATATATATATATATATATATATATATATATATATATATATATATATATATATATATATATATATAATTTTTTTTTTTTTTTTTTTTTTAAAGGATTTGTAGGAATAATACCTACGCCGACCTTGAATTAAAATGCTGTTGTTCTGCCCAAGAGTTTACAGTTAGGCTTCCTTGATATAAGCGTTCAGTGAACTTCTTGCCGCACGCTGCAATATAACCAATTACCAACTCAATACTATTTTTACGCAATAAAAGACAATTGTAAAATTCTAATGTTATAAATATAACATTTTCTACTGCATCTGTTGATTTTTTGTACAGATAATATTCACCTCTTTCTCCTCCTCCCCCCAAAGTATATATAGATATATATATATATATCTACATACAATAAATCCTGCCTGGAAACGGCACAGGCATGTGCAGCGTACACTTAAATAAAATTCCCTGTGCTATTGCGTCAGTTCCCCTGCAGCGTCAAGATGGGAAGGTGAGTGGAAGAACGGTTCTGTGATGGGAACATGCCTCTAATTTGCCTGTGTATATTGAATGGTTGAAAATAAGTACAGTGTGTCCTTTTTTATACCTATTATTTGTGTTATCTGAAAACATGTACCAAGACAAGTGTAAAAGTGACATGTTTATTAATACGTGACATTAGTTCTTTATTGTGCAGTGAAGTACTGAATAGTTATTGTAAGTGACTTTCTAGCGTATAAACCGAATTAAGGGTGCGTGTTTAAATACCCTAGTTATTAAAACAAAGACGTGTATCGCATACAGACACTAACTGTTAAAACAACTCTTTAACAAGGGTCAGTAAAACTCCATGTAAGAGAAAGTTTGTAATGCCGAATAATACAAACGTTATTTTATTTCAAGTTCATTGAGACAAATGGATGTGAAGGATGTTGAGATATCATTGCCAACTTAAAAGGAAAAAAATCAAAGTAAGTTTTGTTATATATTAATGATTTCAAGCTCGTCAAAGGAAAAGTCCTGTACAGGTATTAATAAATTATAGACGTTGATATTTGTACTCTGATTTGAGCTGTTCGCTTTTGTGAATCGTCTTTTTTTTCGATTTTATGGAAATTAAATTGTCAGCCAAGCAAGTAATGAAAATCTTTATATATCCATTAAATTATTTAAAAGATAATCGATCTTTGACTTAATTTAACTTCTTTCTACGTTCGTATAAAAGAGTGTTTTAAGAGTACTGCGTAGACGTATTAGCTGTAATATGTAGTAACGACTCACATAGAACTGTAGTAAGGCAATAATAATAATAATAATAAGAATCATATTTTATATCGATGACTACCACCCCACTCTCAGCTACAATGACTACCACCTCACTCTCAGCTACAATGACTACCACCTCACTCTCAGCTACAATGACTACCACCTCACTCTCAGCTACAATGACTACCACCTCACTCTCAGCTACAATGACTACCGCCTCACTCTCAGCTACAATGACTACCACCTCACTCTCAGCTACAATGACTATCACCTCACTCTCAGCTACAATGACTACCACCTTACTCTCAGCTATAATGACCACCACCTTACTCTCAGCCATAATGACTACCACTTCACTCTCAGCTACAATGACTACCACCTCACTCTCAGCTACAATGACTACCATCTCACTCTCAGCTACAATGACTACCACTTCACTCTCAGCTACAATGACTACCACTTTACTCTCAACCATAATGACTACCACTTCACTCTCAGCTACGACTACCAGCTCACTCTCAGCTACAATGACTACCACCTCTCTCTCAGCTACAATGACCACCACCTTACTCTCAGCTACAATGACTACCACTTCACTCTCAGCTACAATGACTACCAGCTCACTCTCAGTTACAATGACCATCAGCTCACTCTCACTTACAATGACTAGCACCTCACTCAGCTACAATGACTACCACCTCACTCTCAGCTAAAATCACTACCACCTTACTCTCAACTACAATGACTACCACCCCACTCTCAGCTACAATGACTACCACCTCACTCTCAGCTACAATGACTACCATCTCACTCTCAGCTACAATGACTACCACTTCACTCTCAACTACAATGACTACCACCCCCTCTCAGCTACAATGACTACCACCTCACTCTCAGCTACAATGACTACCATCTCACTCTCGGCTACAATGACTACCACTTCACTCTCAGCTACAATGACTACCACCTAACTCAGCTAAAATCACTACCACCTTACTCTCAACTACAATGACTACACCCACTCTCGGCTACAATGACTACCACCTCACTCTCAGCTACAATGACTACCACCTCTCCTCTCAGCTTCTAATGGCTACCACCTCACTCTCAGCTACAATGACTACCACCTCACTCTCAGCTACAATGACTACCACCTCACTCTCAGCTACAATGACTACCACCTCACTCTCAGCTACAATGACTACCACTTCACTCTCAGCTACAATGACTACTACTTCACTCTCAACTACAATGACTACCAGATGACTACCACCTCACTCTCAGCTACAATGACTACCACCTCACTCTCAGCTACAATGACTACTACCTCACTCTCAGCTACAATGACTACCACTTCACTCTCAGCTACAATGACTACCATCCCACTCTCAGCTACAATGACTACCACCTCACTCTCAACTCCTACACGGGGGTGGGTGACGTGAAGTGGATATATAGTGGTGGGCGTATTAACAAAAGTATGAGTGTTAGTAGATGTAATTAACTTCTCTATCATACATGTGGATTACAGTACAGTACAAATACAGTATTAGTTTAGTTTTACATGGACATACTATACCTGCGATACTTATGATAGTGTGTGACGGTGTAAATTCTTGTTCATGTTACATTTAGTTTTTTTGTCTAAGAAAATGAAGGGCTTTTTATCAGTCGGTAGTCGATGTCAGGGTAAGTTTTTGCTTTACTTTAGTACCGTAATGCCTAAGGGTCTATATTCCAACGGTTCATTGCTTCAGTGGGAACTTGGTCTCGACGTCTTAACTTATCTAGCCTGAACATATCATCAGATTAATGAACCTTCGGGCTAATGAATCATCGGAACATTAACGTACAGTATTATTATATACAGTAGTTTTCTCAGTAGCATTAGGTCTTTGTATTCCTTTATATAAAGCTACATGTTAAGTCTTCGTTTTATCTTGAATATTTGTTCAGGATTCTCTTTAAAGCAATTGTTTTTTGTTTTGTTGTTTGCTTCCGGAAATACATCAGTTAAAATATTGTTAATCACTGTAATAAAGTAATTGTGTTTTCTTGAATGAGTCCAAAATATTAAGTTAAGACTCTCTTGTGTTTTTGAAGTTATCTTTACTTCAACAAACACTTAAGAGACCTTCACAACACTGAAGAAAAATCGCCATGTGTTGTGGTGAGGTGGTGGGTGTCATTGATATACGGATGCAGGCAGATAGATAATGGTAGCTAAATAGCTTAGTATAATGTTTTTGGCGTGACAGCGTTGAGTTATTTAAATAGTTACAGAGATAGGTGGAGGGACTGATGGATAAATACGCACAGACGCGTATGATTATAACTTTAGGCTGTCTTAGATTTTATACAAAGGTAGATAAATGGAGTGACGGGTAAATAGTTATAGGCAGGTTTATGTGACAGTGAAGCTTGATCTTTTCGATACGTACCAGTCAGAGGCGTAAAGATGTATTTGTTTGTAAGGCTACAGTTCTCACTGAGGTGCTTTATAAAATTGGCCGTGATCAGTCGACACATGTGGCCACAGGCTGGTGGTGGGTAACGCCTCGTCGGCCGCGCCTGAGCCTGGACCCAACCCTTCTAGAGTTTGTGCTGCACATTACAAACAATTTGCCGCGACCACTGGACAATCACAAGTGGTGGGTCAACCCCAGTGTGTGGCCACAGTCGTCTAGACCAGTGGGTCAGTACCTGCAGGCGAGTGCACGGTGAGGACGGCAAATTCAGGAGGGGTTGTCGTATGTGAGGAAGACAGGCAACTGTGTAGTAACAAGTCGCGTAGTGAAGCTGTGAGCTCGGTTATGTTGGTATTGTCTCACTGTTTCAGACAAGACTATTAGACTAAATGAACTTGTCTAACTGTTTAACTTGGTCATGTTTTATGTGGAGAACGATGTGAACGGAAGTGAATCTCTCTCTCTCTCTCTCTCTCTCTCTCTCTCTCTCTCTCTCTCTCTCTCTCTCTCTCTCTCTCTGTCTCTCTCGCTCTCCACCACCTGCTGACTTCTTTTGCATTCTAAATCTTGAACCAGACTGGGAAAAAACTACAGCACCCCCACCACCACCACGTCACCCCCCTCTCAGTAGCGCATTTTTTTAGTAATAATTAATCTAAAAAGAACAGCAAACTTTATTTTATATTTACCCAGCAATTAATTCTTTCGAGGACAGACACTGGTTTATAATTATACAGTTACTTATATTTTACCATTCAGTACTGTATATATTTTTCTTATGTCTAGAATTAAATTGGTTAATATCGCAATAAATTCTTTAAGTCACAAAATACACAACTTATTGATGTTTAAGATCAAAGGCAACAGTGTAGTGGTGGTGGTGAGTGAGGTGTGGTAGTTGTGGTAGTAGTGGTGGTGAGATGGTGGTAGTAGTGGTGGTGGTGAGTGAGGTGTGGTAGTTGTGGTAGTAGTGGTGGTGAGTGAGGTGTGGTAGTGGTGGTGATGGGTGAGGTGTGGTAGTTGTGGCAGGATGGGTGAGGTGTAGTAGTTGTGGGTAGTAGTGGTGGTGAGATGGTGGTGGTAGTGGTGGTGGTGGAGGAGGTGGTGGTGGTGGTGATGGTGAGGTGTGGTGAAGTTGTGGTAGTAGTGGTGGTGGAGATGGTAGTAGTGGTGGGTGAGATGGTGGTAGTAGGTGGTGGGTGAGGAGGTGTAGTTGTGGTAGTAGTAGTAGTAGTGGTGGTGAGTGAGGTGTGGAAGCAGGTAGTAGTGGTGGTGGTGGTAGTGGTGGTGAGATGGTGGTGCAGTGGTGGCAGTGGTGGTAGTAGTGGTAGTAGTGGTGGGGAGGAGGTGTGGAAGGTGAGGTGTGGTGAGTGGTGGTAGTGGTGGTGGTAGTGAGGTGGTAGTGGTGGTGGTGAGTGAGGTGTGAGTAGTAGTGTGGTAGTGAGGTGTGGTGGTGGTAGAGTGAGGTAGTGGTGGTAGTGGTGGTGGTGAGTGAGGTGTGATAGTTGTGGTAGTAGTTGGTAGTAGTGGTGATGAGTGAGGTGTGATAGTTGTGGTAGTGGTGGTGGTGAGTGAGGTGTGGTAGTGGTGGTGGTGAGTGAGGTGTGGTAGTTGTGGTAGTAGTGGTGGTGAGTGATGTAAGAGGGTGAAGATAATCAATTGTAAGGGACAATTACTGTTAGGAGTTGTTGTTATAATGATATTACTGCTCTTCAACAACCAAGGTCTTTAAGCACTTAACAAATTGAATAAAAACTCAAGTTCATCAACAATTAATAAAAAAAAATAATGAAATCTAAAACTTACGTTACTTGTACTCAGGTAACTGCTCACGTTACTTCACCCTTCTGATATAACCGAAACTCAATACCTGGGTGGATGCCTTGGGTGAATCTCTTTAACGTAGCGTGTAATTAGTCTTATTACCTGAAGATTAGGCCATGTGGAAAACAAATATAAATATTGATTTTTTATTTATTACGAATTTTTCAATAAATTAGTGTAAAAAAATCCTTAGTATATTTCAATTTGCCCCACATACACGAGATACATGCTTAAAACTGTTACGGGTCGGTACAAGGTGGGGAGGGGGGCGCTTATGGGTTTAATAGAAAGCAAAAGGGTGATGCCATGTGAAGAAGCTTGGGAACCACAGGGAGGAAGATGGAGAACAGCGACAGGGAAGAAGATGGAGAACAGCGACAGGGAGGAAGATGGAGAGGAGTGATAGAGAAAGGAGAAAAATGACAAGACAAACAGATAAATATTGAGTATCGGGGAGTGAGAGGGAGAAAGAGGAAGGAAGTAGAAAGCCAAAGGGGAAAGTTGTGTGGAATAATCTATATATCGTTTCTCTCTAATAATTCAGTATAATTATCAGTGTACAGGGCGTCGTATATTGTCTCAGCCTCAGTATATAACAACATTCATCACAAATATCTCTTAATGTACTCATTTTCGTATTCAGAAAGCAGATAATAATCCACTTTCTCTCTACATAAGTGTAATGACACTCAGCAGCGTGTAAAACTAGCAAATGTATAACTAATTTGATCATTATTTATTCATAACTTATAAGTTTTCACTATTCAGACATGTGGATGGTGATCAATGACTTGTAATTAGCTCGTTATCTTGTATGGAACATGAGCCACTCTCTTATAAATTGTTCCGAGTAATTTTCACAGGTTCATGTTCGTTCATATGAAATTATCCGTAAAATGGAAGAAATATACAGGTATACTATATATGGTAACTGTACTAATGAGTAGTGTTTATTTGGGTAAATGATAATAAAACCTGATGTATAAGAAATCACGTTGGTTCGTTAGATATCCCGAGGCAGATTCTCATTGATTCGTGGTTCGTATCATTCAAAGCATGTGTCTCAGAGATAAGCTTACACCAACTAGGAATCTACAGAGTGACTCATAAAAATGTCTATACACTACAAATACTTAACAGATGTGCACCTGTGGTAGACCTCACACATAAACACGTTAGACCAATGTTGCTGTTGTGATACAAGTATTCACGCGATCACCACGAAAATTTGTTAAGTAGTGTGTAGACATTTTCACGAGTCACCCTGAATTACCAATGACCCCTGATGAGTGCATAACAGTTTCTCGCATTGTAACATCTACATCTGAATTCACTCCTGACGTCCGTAAAATACTCTCTCTCTCTCTCTCAGTTTATTTTTATATCTACTGTTTATATCTACTAGTAATCCATTGAACGCAGTGTATGAAAAATTAAAACGAACACTAAATTTAAGGAAGAGAAAAAAAGAAAGAAAATGAACCAAGAAACAGGATGGTGACATGAGCCGGACGTCTGAGGACCAAGGCGAGCCCGTGGTGAGGGATCCGATCGGGCGGTTTTTCACCCAGTCAGATGCACAACACTACAGATGGTCGTTTAAGGACCCGTGATGACCACATTCTAAGGAGCTATTCATGCAGGGACATAACATAGGCATCTGAGCTTAAGAACTTACGTTGTGAAAATAATCTGAGAATGTTATATAATACGGTGGTACAGTGTGTGTGTGTGTGTGTGTGTCATTATTTATAAGAACAAGGGAGACCGGTCAAACTGCGAGAACTACCGTGGGATCTTGCTGCTGTCCGTAGCTGGCAAGATTACCGCCCGAGTCCTCCTAAAACAGATTTCTTCCCGAGGCGGAAAAATTCCTCCCAGAATCTCAATGTGGCTTTAGACCATCACGAGGCACCACTGACATGATTTTTGCTGCCCGCCAGATACAGGATAAGTGCAGAGAACAGCGTCGTGATCTGTACATGGCTTTCATCGACCTAACCAAGGCCTTCGATTCGGTCAACAAGGAAACCCTCTGGTGGACACTCAGCCGTTTTGGCTGCCCACCAAAATTTATAGTCATTGTGAGGCAACTCGACGATGGCATGAACGGCAGTGTCCTGTACAACGGCACCCAGTCCGAGTTCTTCCCTATCCAAACGCAGACATCGATGAAGAGATTCTACATCGAATCAGATGTGCATCTCAAGCCTTTAGCAGACTCCGAAACCGTGTCTTCAGCTGTAGGGAGCTGGAATTATCTACAAAGTTACATACACAGTATATCGAGCAGTGGTCCAACTCCACCCTGCTACATGGCAGCGAGACATGGGTCACATACAGGGAGCACCTCAAGGCACTTGAAAACTTTCACCAACGTAGTCTACGTTCCATCCTCCGAGTTCGATGGGAAGACAAGAGAACATATGCCAGTATTCTTGCTGACACCAACTGTAGGAGCATCGAGGTTACCATTATCCATGAACAACTATGCTGGACTGGCCAGTGGCCATATTACCCGCATGGATGACATTAGACTGCCAAAGCAGCTACTTAACAGTCACCTTACGAATAGTAAACGTAACGCCGGCGAGCAACTGAAAAGGTATAAGGATAGTCTTAAGACAAATCTGAAAAAGTGCCAAATAGACCCCCCTTACCTGGGAGACGATTACTCCACACTGTAACGCTTAGAGAAGCACCACACAAGAAGGTGTCAATACTTTCGAGTTAACCCGACTGCATAACGAGGCAGACAAGCGCCAACGCCGGAAAGACGTTGCCGCCGCCCCTCCCTCATTAGATGTAGCCCCCACATGTGCAACATCTGTGAACAACTCTGCCGGTCCCGTATTGACCTCTTTTGTCACCTCAGAACTCACCAACGTAGGTGGCATCCTTAATAACTCGTATCACTGTATCATAGCTGGATGATCGTCATACTAGATTCCGAGTGACAGCAAAGTAGTAGTAGTGGTGTGTGTGTGTGTGTGTGTGTGTGTGTGTGTGTGTGTGTGAAGAAGCTCGGTGAGTGCTAAGACTTGATGACTGACCAGAAACAACAGTTAATGACAGGGTAGTGTGGATCACCCCACGGTGAGAAGGTTCCTGTTGTATGTGCGTGAGATGTGGCTTGTCATGTACAGTACTATACAGTACGTGGAACCTTGTTGCGATTCGTGTACGAGTATGTGAAGTGAGTTACTTGTGTTTATTCACGGACGTGAGTCGTGAAATGCACCTGGTATGTGTGTGTGGAAACTGATTAGGTCCGTAAAGTGTGCCATGTTAAATACTGTACGTGATGTGGTATATATACCACACCACATCTGAAGATGTCTTGAATAAAGAAGAAAGCCTCCGTTGTTTCCATTTTCCCGTGTGATTTTATCAAGATTTATCTTATCCACGTTTTCATTGTGATTTACATAAATATATATATATATATATATATATATATATATATATATATATATATATATATATATATATATATATATATATATATACATATATATATATATATGTTCCTACGTCTGTGTAAAAGAATACACTCCAACGAACCGTGTAAACGACTATAGCCTCTTCCTGCCTTGTTTTGACACACTTCAGTCATAAGTTGAACGTCTTCTCTGTCACGTTTATGACGTCATGACCTCATAACTAGTCATCTGCCATGGTAAATTTAGCTCACAGTTACCTATTATTTCCTGACCACATCCCGTGTGGCAGGTGACTCCCATTACCACACTACACTACACTACACTACACTACTCACTTCCTCCCGATGTGAAGAGTCATCCCTGAACTGGTTAGCTAATAAAGGCGACACAACAGCTGTAGAACCTGACTAATTGAAGGAACTGAGAGTTAATGATTATTGAGGGGCAGCTGCAACGGTCACTCAGTAAGGTTTGACCACGACCAGAGTTCGTTAACCTGTCAACTTTAAAGGAATCGTAACCTGTCAACTTTTAAGATTTTAAGGTAATGACTCCCAAATCACTATCCTTACGCCCACACTCACAAATATCCATGTTTCAGAGTACTGCAACTGGTGGGCGTGGCAGCACTGGTGATGTGGGCTGGGCCAGCAGAGTGTCAAGAGGACCTATTGGCTGTAGAGAGCTCAGTGGGCGGAGTGAGGGTCGCGGCGCCTCCCTCATACCTCACGCCGAAGGACAACAGGGTAGTGTCGGGACATCAACAGCAGCAGTACGCCAAATACCCCGTCAGGAAACAACTTGGTGAGATTATGGTAAGTCTGGCCAATATCGCATCTCTTCATTTTTTTTCTCACTATAAATCAACTTCTCAAATATTGTTGGGATATAATGCTTAACACACTGGCTCTTGTTGGAATATTTTCTTAACAACACAAAAACGAAAAAAAATGGGTGTTGATGCAAATATGTTGGACTTTTATATTAGAAAACAGAGGTGGTGCAGTAGACTTGGTGCTTCTTTAAGAGCTTCATCTTATCTTGTGTAGCGTGTGGGTCTACAGCTGAAGATGGTTTATAAAGCGACAGTGAAGATGCTCGGGATTACTTTTAGAAATGGTACTGTTTATGTATTATTTAAATTGTTACTTTAATTTTGGTCTTTTTTCTCAACAGCTTCCATCTCGACCGAAGGCACCGCGCTCCAGAAACCCCATCACTGGGATTGGTCAGCAGATTGGTGAATATATGCGGCGAATCAGCGACTACTTCTACTGGTTTATCTCGGGAAGCCCACCAATCACGCGCAAAAAAGCCAAAGCAAAACAACGCGCTCCCGGGAAAGGATTGGTCCGTAAACCGTACCGCTTCAGGGGAGCGCCAATCAGACAACAAAATGCCGAGGGTGAAGCACCAGTCACAAAAAAGCAGTTGCCCATGAGTCGTCGGCTGGGTCGTCCTCAGTATCAGGTGGTCCGGGACAGGCACAACATCCCTTACACACAACTGAGGTGAGCCATTGCCTGGCATGTGCGAGTTACCCTGTCATGTGTTGTGCACTCTGGTGGTGAGAGGCACAGTTCACTTTTTGGATCACCTGAAGATTAGTCACCCCAGCTTATTTCACCTGATGATTAAACCGTCAGGGTGTTTAACCATTACGTGAAATAAGCTGGGGTGCCTAATCTTCAGGTGACCCTCGTCTTCATGTTGTTAATTCACTCTGTTGTTAACTAATTTTCTATTTCTCTTGTACAGAGACAACCTACATCGAAGACGCAGACACGAAGTGATGAAAATAACCAAAAAATAAGACATTAACTTCAAAAATGGTGCAATACTCTCTAGTCCTGTAAGAGACCGAGAGCTGCCGCCCCACGAGTCATTAATTACGCCGACCTCCAGTGTGGCACCTCGAGTACTACACATCCCCACTGTAGCACACCTTCACCTCTGCACATCATTAATTTACATCTCGTATTACACGTCTCCCGGATCTTACCTGGCTCATAGGTCATCGACTGACTTCTGTTAAGCTTAGAAGTAAATAGGTAATAAATATACTATGTAATTACATTTCAGTAGAGTAGAAACACATGTATAGGAATATTGTTGCACTTGTGTTGAGGATTAAGTAACACTGTACTGATTCAATATTTACTTAGCGATCACCACACCTTAAACGACCGTATCAGGGGAACCTAACCTAAGGACCTTATTAAGGGAAGGGTGTTGAGTGTAGGCCGACACCATTTGGGGATCCTCGCCTTACTTATTGTACTAGGTCACTCTTCCTCTCACGTTGTCAGAGACTGTACTGTAAACTGGGGGACCACACCTGACTGATAATCCTAAATTGGGGGGTTGGCGTTACCTTTATAACTGGAGGGAGAGGTTGCCTGTAGAACTAGGGGGAGAGGTTGCCTGTAGAACTGGGGTTGGGGTTGCCTGTAGAACTGGATGGAGGGGTTGCCTGTAGAACTGGGGATAGGGGTTGCCTGTAGAACTGGGGGAGGGGTTGCCTGTAGAACTGGAGGGAGGGGTTGCCTGTAGAACTGGGGGGAGGGGTTGCCTGTAGAACTAAGGGTATCATGATCAGGGTTGGAGCAATTACACCTTTTTAAGTCAATTACAGATACAAATACTGGATTACTTGAAAATGGGATAGTTCCTTCTTCCACTCATTGTTTCAACAACAGACTCACTGTACTTCCCTCTGATGCTCGTTGATTTTGTGGCCCAGTTGAAGATAGTGGTATGAAGGAGAAAAGTCTGGGTCTTTTTTATACAGGTAATCCTTCTGCTAGATCATCTTTGTCATTTTCTTCCTCTGTTGACCCCTCCTGAACTGCCTCCGATTCTTCCAACATTTCCTTCATATCAATCAGTACCTGGTCCTTCTGCTACAGCCAGTCCAGTTTGAACCTAGAATCCGGAAAAGCCGCTGCTCGAACATCCCTCATTTCTATGTATGGGTGCAACCTTTTCTTCACAGAGTCCAGCAGGAGTCTAGCCAATGGTTCACAGTACAGCAGTTGGCTTTGCGTGGGTGGCAGTCAGTGGAATGGCCATGGTCATGATGACGGCTTTGAAAATTTAATCGGGGGACTGAGTTCACAATTAAATTACAATTATATGATTATCATTTAAATTACAATTAACATATAACCCTTTAAATTACAATTCCTATTTTCTTGTAATTAATTATATTTCATTTAAATTACAAATACAATTATTCCAACCCTGATCATGGCCGTCTAGTTTGCATGTTGAAGAAAACTCTTTCAACCAATAACACATTAACTCTTACAAGACGCATATGAAGTATAAATCATTCAAGTGATATTTTCCTGTAATCACCTGGGAAAGTGTATGAGTGAAATGTACAAAGATAGTTTCAGGTTTCCCTTTGTGTACCGAGTCTTACGCTGGGCCCCTGTTGTCGTATACATAAACAGGTATCTATTGGTAGAACGATATCAGGTTGACTGATTCCCTGACCAATTAGAGACCAGTGGCAATGTATATGTGGCGAACATCGGAATAAAACGTATTTCACGAACGAATCAGACACCGTCGCTCCCCACCGTGAGTACCTGTTGCCTGTGTGCATGACAACAAGGCACCAGTTAATCTTCACACATCTTTGTTCGTGTACGTGTTATTATTAAACAACCATCTGGTAATGATAACAAAAAATAAATAATTTTAGGCATTATTATTGTTAGTAAAAGTTAGCATAGTAGTGATAATGTTCAAACATGTTTTGTTGTTTCTTTGTCTGTTTGTTTGATTGTATGTTTGTTTTATTGTTTATGTTTAAAATGTGTTGTCCATGTTTTTACAGTATATAAAATATAGACCATATACATAATTTTACGGGATGTTATTAATATTATTCATGTGGCTGGTAAAACAAGGCTGTAGTACTGTGCGTTGTGTTCACTCCAGCAACATCTAGGTCTGGATTCACAAAGGTTTATTTTTTTTATTAAACACATAAACCCAGACTCCCTAATTCCGTTCGTGTATAAAACATCTCAATCCCAATTCTCAAAGATTCGTAAATATATGTTTCCTAGTAAGTGAAGATACGGGGACACATTTTAAGTATCCTCTTGAGCTACTGTACAAAATAGCATAGCATCACATATACACTGGAGCTACAGTAACCATAAGCGTCTCTCTTCCTTACTTGGGTAAAGAAAAGTAAGATAATTAAGACACCCAAATCTGAGTGACTCGGTTAAACAACAGAGAACATTTCCTTCCGGAATTTATTGTGAAAAATATAAAACTACACAACATAACATAACAGGTGTAATATATATAAAAAATAATATAAAATTAACGTATACAAAATTAAAGCATTAAAATGATCAGCTGATCAATACACAGTTAAGTTATTTATCAGTGGTGCAATAAAATTATCAATAGATAAAGCAACAACTAGATCATATAAACTACAGTAGATAAATAAATTTAGTAGTAACTAGATCAATAAATACATCACAGAATTATTTTTGGTGTAACAACGCCAGAGAGAAACCTCTACCAGTGACGTCACTCAGCTTCTTGGTGACGTCAACCAATCTATCCGTGACATCATTCACATAAAATGTTATCGTAAAACATCAACTGTTAGAACACAAGATAAAGTTGACAAGTTCAGATGAATGCCTTCCTCTGTGGTGTCTCATGATGTGATGAAGATGTAAAGTAAGTTTATTACTGAATATTGTTGTCACATTTTGAACAAGACACCTTCATGCGTGTGTGTGTGTGTGTGTAAAATAAGGCTGCATTTACACCAAACGAGTCGAGTCGATTCATTAGAGTCATTAGACTCGAGTCAAATTGACTCATTCCCGTTCACACCGAAAGAGTCAAAACGAGTCAGGGTTGTCACTAAATTGTCAGTACCCAGCCTGTATGGACACACATTCTCTCGCTGAACTATATGTTCTATTGTGGGTTCGGCGCCATAGGAGGAGGAGGAGGAGGACCCAATTGTGGATACATGAAATCAACGCCAAAGGACAAGATTTTGGTGCCTTTAGTTAATTATTCCCAGACTTGGTGAACCATCCAGACAAATTATACAATTTCTTTGGGATGACAACTGAAAACTTTAAGAAGTTGGTGGACATGACAGGACGCTCCCGAACAAAATTTATCAAATCACCCGCCTGCATGATACTGCTCACACCACAACGGACGCGCGGTGACTGATGAAAAAATGGGTCCAGCCGTAAACATGACTCGACTCGGCGTGACTCTCCCGGTGTGAACGGTTTTTGAAAAAAAAAAAAACATGCAAATTAATGTGAACTGCAATGGCGAGTCAAGACGACTCATGACTCGTCTTGACTTGACTCGACTCGATTCGTTTGGTGTAAATGCAGCCTAAGGTTGGCTAATTATTTTTCACATTATTTATTGGGTTTAAGCATGATAGGTTTGCGCTAGAGCTTAACAACCAGGTGATTACTTGTTTAAGGAAAGATGTAATAACCCGATTTTAGTGATATTAAGAAAAATTATTCACCGTCACTTACTACACAGTCTGTAGTGACGAGAATGATAGATAGGGTAAACATTGAGTAAATCTCTTCGTTTAATGAGTGAATAGTTTGATAAAATCACTCAAATAAAATAACTTTGTATATGTGGGAAAATCTTGAGCCGTTGTAGGTTTATACTCGCGCTCTCTCTTTGTTTTGACGCCACCAGCTCAGAACCGTGGAAGTGTGGCGATGTTTACATATATGTAAACATATAAAATCATTTATACAATTAAATATGGACATATGATTTTGATTTGATTGACTTAGTTTAGCTTATATTAAACATTCTAATTCTAAGTTACGAAGATGTTTGCTGGACTCTGGTAGTCTAACAAGTACAGTATAACATTATTTAGATTAATTAATACATGTCACTGTAATGTAAAGCACTAAGTTAAAGATATGCAGCAACAACAAAGTTCCTATCACACTCTGAACTCACTCGTGAACCAGGTCAATGAGAGTCATTTAGAGGGAAAACTATGACCCGCACATCCCCTCACTGGCGAATCAAAAGTGAGTGTGGATCATACACAGGAAACACTAGTTAATTTGAAAGTTAGTGAAGCTCTGCTGAGGGTTTGGAAACACTGCGCCCTGAGGCTGTTCAAAGCCCGTGTCTCTTATACCCGTGAACCTTGTGTCTGTCATGCCGTCCTGTGTGTCTACTCCCGGCATGAACGACACTTCCGCCGTAGCCATTGATCCCGCCATGCCCATCGTGTTCATTGATCCCGCCATGCCCATCATGTTCATTGATCCATCCATGCCCATCATGTTCATTGATCCGTCCATGCCCATCATGTCCATATCGGTTTTAGGTTGAGAATAAATCGGCCATATAAAGCTGGTGAGGGTGAACAGCAGAAGGTAGCCCAGGAAGTCCCAGGAGTGGGCAGCCAGGATGGGGGTCACGTTAGGGTTGAAGGTGGGACCCCAACGAAACGCTGGGGCAAAAAACAGCCGGGCTTCTTCCTCCTCAGTCCCTGGCGACGCTGAGATCTCTTTGTTATTGTGGTGAGGGGCGAAGGTCGAGGGAGATTCAGAGTCTAAGTGCGAGGCGTTTTCCTCTTGGCCTTCCCCGAGGTGAGTGTGTATGGGAGGCTGTGAAGGTGAAGACGAAGAACCTGCGGATGAGTCCCCCGAGGCGCTGTCACTCCTGCCATAGTTTGGTTCATTACCTGACGGTTCAGCTTCCTCCTCGGACGATCGACTTTCCTCTTGGGACGACAGATATAATTTGAGACTCTTGTAGTGGCCCGCCTCTGCTCGTCTGCGGTATCCACTCTGCTGTGTCCGAGAATCACAGCGACACAAATACCAATAAATATAGATTTAGGAGAGAACACTTACACAAGGTAATATGTTTTACCTCATATTTAATATTAGTCATATTTCTTACTTAATAGTACAGTATATGTGGTTTTATTTCATATATGCATAATTAACAAAACTTGACGTGACCGACCAGTGGTGCGGACCCAAAATATAGTGGATGTTGGTGTTAGGATGAGAGATGTCTCGCCAGCCTGTGTGTTACTGAATTACGTGGTCACTTCTGTGAGTTCTTATTCTGTACTTTTAGTGTGTTCTTACTTAACATTACAAGTTACTTAGTCATTCAGGCTTTACTTGATATGTTTAACGGGGAATTTTTATTGGTTTGGCTTGGACGACATAAATTCCTAAGGCCCCATTTTTAGTGCTTGACCAAGAGCCCTATATACTGTACACCCCACCTAAGATGTTTACTGGTATGTTATAATGATCCTTTAGACTCTTCCAGCCTGTCGGTCACCAACTCTCCCAAATATTCAAAACATCCACAGGTTTTCTCTCAGCGCTAATCCTTACCTCATTTAATTAACATTCTCAGCCATCCTACATCTAGGTTTACCTTTTTTTATATCCTCTAGCTGATGTGTACAGAACTACCCCTCTACTAATTCCGTTAAATAGTCCAGGGTCACGCGTCACTAGTTAGCGAAGGTGGTTATGCGGCCTCTCAGAACCTTCCTCACGTCTGTGTTTATACCTTCAATAATCCTCCACAGCTACCCGCCCTCTACCTCTCTCCTTCCATAGCTTACTACTTCTCCTCATCCTCCATGTTAAGATTTCATTTATTGATATCTTAAAGTAAAGCAACAGCTACCATTTGATTGCCTCTTCTTCCCCAAAACAATCAAGTTACATTGATCTCTTGTACTACATAATACTGTCAAAGATGAAATGTTTACATAAAATTATATCAATTCAAAGTAAGTCATGAGCACTGAGATCGGAGATTATTCAGAAGCTATTGGGATATTTTCCCTGACCACACTTGGATGTTGTCGTCTATCATCCAGTGCTAATCTTTTCACGTTTGTTTTACATTCTATGCCAATATTCATCAATTACTCTATCTATATGGCTAAGAATCTAAGTACTAATGTATCTAGTTGTCTATATATTTAGGGAGCTAAGTACAAAAGCAAAAGCACATTTAAAAGCGTACAGTATCTATATATTACAATTAATTAAACAAGCATTAGAGTAAGCTAGTACAACGCGTATGATGACGTACACATTGTTATATATATCCGGTATTGTAGCCACACACTTCGTTCACTACAGATCTATACAAAAACAAAACTGATGCGGCCAAACTTACCATCACAAAATTTTCATTCAAATTAAACTTGATTAAACGTGTCCTAAAATTAATTTGTAAGTAAACTATAATGGAATATTTATAGTTAGATAAATATATGGGATTTATAACACTACTGTAGTCTATAAATGACTGTGGCCAATTAAAGGAATCTGTACAAAATTTATTACATGCTTTATTATTAAAATCAACTTAATACAAAATAACAGAGGATAAATAAGGTAATAAATAGATCAAATAGATAATATAATAAATAACATATTGTACAGAATGACGTATGACACACCACCACCAACGGGAAGCCTCCACCAGTGACGTCACAACGTTCACCACTGACGTATTCAACCTCCGTAAGTGACTTCACTCGAGCCTTATTAATAACGCCACCCAACCTCTACCAATGACGTCACTCAGCTCACGCTCAACAATATAAGTCGTAGCTCTAGAAATGTTGCCACTAATATACACAAATAAGGTAGTGCCAGTTAATCTTGCATTGCGAAGCGAGGTTCCGAAAGAAATACAATCCATTAGTTTTTGTTAAAATTATAGTTAGTAAAAGATAACACCCTATAATGGGCAAAGCACGGCCCGCGGGCCACATTTGGCCCGCCAATTTATTTATGTGGCCCGCCACTGCATTTGGCAATCAGAAAAAAAAAATTCTTATTAATTACAGAAAGGAAAATTTTGGAAGTTGGGTGGACATAGCAGCAATACACATTAAGTGTGTGGCCCGCGAAGTGTGCCACCATTCATGAAGTAGCCCTCCATCAAAAATAATTGCCCACCCCTGCCCTATATGTTAACAGCAGAGCCATGGTAGAATTAGTTAAGGTTACCGGCTGGTCAGTCCTCCGTGCTTTACTCGTTTTACAAGAGCTGTTGGAATCAGATTGAAAAAAAAAAGACCGTGTTTAGGTCATGTTCCAACTTAAAACAGCAACACTAGAATCTCAGGGAATCGAACGACGAGGCAAGTAGTTTATTAACTTATTTATCGAATGAGGATTCATATTACTTAACTGTTCTTCCAGCCTTCAAATTTAGGTATAACCTTTAACGTGTTGAAACTTGCACCAGTATTGTGTTGGGTTTATATGGTGTTGTTTTCTCCAGCCTGTACCTTGCCAGCTACACAATTTTATGGTTACGAGAAAAAAAAATCAATTGGCAAATATTTCCCCCAGGCTCACACAACCAGGTCAGTCCTGATTCACTCAGGAAGATAATTACCTAATCTGTGGGACGTTGATGCCCTGCCCCTGGTTGTACAGTCCTGGGTCCATAGTCTGCCCATAGCCCATACCTGGGTACATAGGCTGCCCATAGCCCATACCTATGTCCATAGGCTCCCCATAGCCCGTGCCTCCTACGTCTGTCATATCCTCAAAATACGTCATGTCGTCTTCGTCTGCCATGTAAGGCATTGCACTATACGTCATGTCGTCTTCGTCTGTCATGTACGGCATTGCATTACTTGTTATGCCCGCTGGCTCCTCTACGTCATCAAGAGGCATGTTCTTATAGACGGAGACGATCCCCACTGTGATGCTGATAAGAGCGAATAGCAATAGGTAGCCCAGGTAATCCCATGCGTAGGCGGCATTGATAGGGGTCTGGTTGCTGTTTAAGTCTGGACCCCAACCCAACAGTGGTGCCAAGAATAGCCGCATTTCTCCCGCCGGAGACTTAAGCCACGTCGATATTTCGTTTACAGCATCGTCCTGGAGGTCAGGTGTCGAGGGAGTGTCTGAGTCACCTCCACCTTGGTTTTCGCTGAGCTGAGTGTGTTTGAGAGGCTGTGAAGGTGGCGGTGAAACAGACGAGGCTGAGGATAAGTCCTTCGAGGCACTGCTGCTTTTGCTGTTGTTAGGCACATTACCTGAGGGCTCCTTTTCCTTCCTGGACGATCGATATTCTCTGCTGGACGAGAGATGTGAGCGGAGGTCCTCGTCAAGGTCCGCCTCTGGTCGTCTGCCATACCTATTCTGCCATGTTCGAGGGTCACAACAACACAAGTTGGCAAAAACCAAACAACTCTTATCACTGTGACTAAAAATGTACAGAACTTTGATAACCGTTGAAGATCTAACAAAGCAACTTTCGAGAGCTCCAACAGCCTCTATAGTCAATTAGAATGTTGAATTTAATTAGTTAAAATTTATATATACAGTAATATTTTAAGCACATTTCTTCTTTAGTGTAACATTCATTATAAACAATATTAACAACAAAGTAGAAATAATATTCACTTATACTATTCAAAGTAAAACTAAAATGCACATGCAATTTGGACATGACAGCTAAATATATACATAAATTAAGTTCTTATGAGATATATATACTTAACATGTCTCTACCTTCAACATACTGGATTATCTAACATGGTCATGGTCCTTGTGAAGCTCAACTCAACATGGCTCAGTGAGTTAACTTGGAGAGTACAAGTATAACACCTTTAATTCAGTCAACTCAACCAGTAATGACAGTCAACTGAAGCAATACAGAACTTATGATATATTTACAGACATGACAGACAACAGTACAGACAATGACAGACAACAGACAGGGCTGAGAGGGGTTACAAACTACAGATAGATTTCAAGACAGAATCGCCACATACAGGCCATTACAGGCTAATGCGTCATGGCGTCGTACACGTCATAGTGGTGATTACGTCAATGGTGGTGGGCATATTGCTGAGGTGAGTGTGTTGTTGAGGTGAGTGTGTTGTTGAGGTGAGTGTGTTGTTGAGGTGAGTGTTGCTGAGGTGAGTGTGTTAGTGCATTACTGTGGTGAGTGTGGTGATAACTGCATTATTGTTTGAGTGTGTTGCTATGGTGAGTGTCGCTGTGATAAGTGCATTACTGTAGTGAGTGTGTTGCCGAGTGTGTTGCTAAGTGCATTCATGTGGTGAGTGTGTTGCTAAGTACATTAGTATGTTGAGTGCGAGAAGACAGGGGTGTGGCGGGGGTGCATTTTGTCTTTGCGAGTGTGATGGTGTTAAGTGTGTTGCTGCCAAAGATGGGTGGGCGAATGTGTTAATTAGGTGAGTGCGTGAAGAGGTCATGAGTGAGTCAGGGTGCGTTATAAGGCCGGGGCGAAGAGAGTGTGTGGGAGGTTGGGCTGGAGTGAGGTTGGGCTGGGGTGAGGTTGGGCTGGGGTGAGGTTGAGATCACTGGGTGCGTCACGTGGTGGGAGTAGAGTGTGTGTGTGTCATGCGTGGAAATGTTCAGGCGAGGAAGGAGTCGACGTAGCGCATGGCCCGGTGTACCATGCGACGCACCATTACGGCCGTCCGGTCCTGTGCCTGTTGGGAGAGAGAACCACGGTGAGGGAGGTACACACCCGACGGGGCGGGGCGGGGTAAAGATGTTCATCACCAACGTCTGGGTGTGGAAGGGCGGAGCAGATCATCACCGGTTGGGCGGGGCGGGGCGGGTTATTGTCAACAGGTCACCGTTACCTGGGCACTTCCTGGTAGTGTGATCATTGATAACCTTTGTTGATGTATTTATGTTTACATGTAAATATATGCTATTAGCGCTGTATAACTGTAAATAATAATAGCTCCATTTTCTTGTCAAAAATTTGTTCTGGCTATTAATGACACAGGTGAACAAACAATATACTTCTTTAATAATACCGGTAATATGTCATAATATCTACTTATAATATGACCGAACTTCTCAAAGTTATATATATATATATATATATATATATATATATATATATATATATATATATATATATCATGTAAATCCACAATGAAAACGTGGATAAGATAAATCTTGATAAAATCACACAGTTGCTAAAGATGTCTTGAATAAAGACGAAAACTAAGGTGCTTCATTGCTTTCCCTGTGTGATTTTATCAATATATATATATATATATATATATATATATATATATATATATATATATATATATATATATATATATATATATATATATATATATATATGTGTGTGTGTGTGTGTGTGTGTGTATGAAATACCGAATCTTTTAGTTATAACAAATCTCTATAATTTGAAGAAAAAATATTTTAAGTGTTGAGTGAAACAATTGTTGGACGGTGTGAGATGGGTGATACACGAAGGTAATTACAGGTGTGTGTGTGTGTGACACAAGAGGTCGTTGTCACGTGGCCCAGACAGTCGGACGTCATCAATTGTAATTTAATAAACTTTACCAAAGTCAGTGTCAAGGACGGGTCTATACAACACAGGTGGAAATTTTGTTGTGACTCAAATTATTGACAGTGGTTGGAAGGAGGTGGGACAACAAACAAACAAACAAACAAACAAACAAACAAACAAAGCACGCACACACACACACACACACACACGACCTCATGATCACCCACTTTTCTTAAAAGTAGATCAGGTTCTTATTATTTACACATTTTTATTTTATAGAACTCTTCTCTCGATATCGCTGGCGTTGAAAATTTACATTTGCATACCGGCAAAAGAGACACAGTTGTTCTTCTGTGTACAGTTATATTTTCCAAAGGTTCTCAACAGTGAAATTTTAAAGTCAACCACATAAGTGTGTAGTAAGGGTCATCAAGGACTAGAGGGCAGCCTTCCTGTATACAACACAGAGGACCACTCCATTGTTTACAAATCTGTGGGTCGGGTCTAGTGCAGCTCACAGGAAGGCGACCGTCTCTGAGCGAGTTCACAATCCACTTATTATCAGCTGAACCACAGTGCTTATTGACTCGTTCTGTATCGACCGCCAGCAATACTGAGAGAGCAGCCATTAAGACTACACCACACGGAAGCTTTATGACGTAGAGGCAGAGAAAACCCGTGACCTACCTTGTTGTTGGTCACGAGAGATACACGTGTGACCACATCCCACTACACCCTAAGGCACACTAACAATATACCCTGAAGCGACACTATCTACACTACACTACACTCTCTATACAGGCTATCACAACACCCTGAACACAGATTACTACTACAACTACCACTATAAGCAAAGACACAGTACACTCTCACCAAGGCCACCCTAGAACACCTCCCAAAGTAAGCCTTCAGCCGCTGTCACCAACACCATATACACGCTGTGGGTCCTGGAGTCATTATTTAAGGATCTGTCCTCGAAATCTCATCCCGTTTATAAAATATTTTACTTCCTATATCACGTTATGTCTATACGTGGGCACAACACTGTATTATTGTAATGTACATTTAAAATATCTTAGTGGAACCTTTAGAGCTGGTGCTGATGGTTTTACAAAGACAGATGATTAAATTGAAGGAAAATTTATATACACGCGCACCTACAGTGATTTACTTGCATATTGCATACAGTATATAGTGTTTCATCTTTTTCCTTTTATTTTTTTCTTTATCCATTGTATTTGGATTTGCGTCTATTCTACTTACTGTCTTAGTCTATTTTCCACATCCTACTTAACCTGTTTTGGTATTATTCGTCTTGCCTCACTTATTCGTTGTATCTAACTCATTCTGTGTTACTTATCCTACCCTACTCATCCTCTACTGCCCTACCCAACCTCACTACTGGCCCCATGCCCAATCCTCACCCTCATCCTCCATCTAATCCTTTATCACCTCCTACAATCTCTTCCTCTATCCTTTCTTCTTTATTCCCTTCTTGTATCCTCCTCTTCCTTTCCCCTATCACCTAGCTCACCGTAAATCCAATATGGGGTTCCATTGTAATTCACATATCAATCTTCACCCCCTTTCCCCTCTCCTTTTCCCTTCTTCCCTGTTTTCAATCCTCTCCCTCTCCCCCCTCCCCCTCCCCCTCCTGTCCCCAACTTACCGCGAATCCATCCTTGGGTTCCTTGGTGGAGGGGGAGATATAGTTCATGATGTTGCCCATGAAGCTCCTCAGCATGCCGCGCCAGTCCTGCATGATCCGCTCCAAAAGTCCTGGAGTCTGGCGGGAGGGAGAGACGGGGTTAGTTGGTGTAGCAGGCGAAGTGTAGTGGGCTAATGTTTACTCTACAATCGAGTAAAGTGTAGTATGCGTAGTTAGAGCCGATGTTTACAGTATAACCGACTCATGTGTAGTATGGCTAAGTTCCACACTATAATATACAATTAAAAAAATATTAATTACTTTTATAAAATTATTTGCTTGAGCTCAGGACGGTCAGGGGCTAACTCCTCCATTACCAGCAGGTTATTTACTAAGTCATATCTAGCTTGTGGAAATTTTCTTTCGTTGTCATCTGATATGGTTGGGCGCGATCCTCTGTCAATGGAGCTTCGTGGAAATCATTCAGTTAAATCTGTCCGACAACAGGATCGGTTATACTGATATACACATAAAATTTGTTAACTGAGTGAAAGGTTCTTAATTTTGGAAATATTAGCAGATTAGAGGAATGAATGGTTTATATAAATATCTTTTGGCAGACTTCATTTTCTCTCCTGAGTATGATTTTCATGTCATCTTCCTCTGAAAGACTCGACAGCACTTCTGTTTTGTGCTTTCATTTTCAACTGTACCTTTTCTACTGTTCCCGCCACTTTAAGCGACTTAACGTCTCTTGTTTCAGGCTAGGCTGCAGACACCGGGTCATCTTTAAACAGCATATCCAACAGTAGATCGTTAAGTACTTTATAACCCAGAACATCAGTCACTATGAATGTGTTAACTCCCTCTTGTGTGGTGAGGATGTGTATACTTTCACCCCACCGCCTTGCTTAGTTTAATTTGATAATAACTTTACTGTTCACATGATACTGTTAAACTTGGTAATCACTGCATCGTATTATTTGTGAAAGTCTGATAATACAGAAAGTTTTAAAGAGTAAAATCCTAACAAATTAATTCCATTTATCACACACATCAAGGCAAAAGATATTACCCACACCAACTTATTAAATACTTCATTCTTATAACATCGTACGGTTGTAATAGAGTGCAGACCACAACACTAAACTAATTATCACAACTGTAGACTCCGGGATAAACTGTGTGAGAGCGGCACCTGTTGGATGACTGTGTTGGGGGGCTGGAACTCCTGGGCTGAGGTGGTCGTCAAGGCAGCCACCACACACACCACCAGCAGCAGTACGACGCCCCGACTCATCTTATCTGTGGAGAGTAAGTGAAGTTAGTAACCTCATACATCTCAATGCTATTGGGCCCTGAATCTAATGGGCCCCAATCCTAATGGGCCCCAATCCTAATGGGACCCAATCCTAATGGGACCCAATCCTAATGGGACCCAATCCTAATGGGACCCAATCCTAATGGGACCCAATCCTAATGGGACCCAATCCAAATGGGCCCCAATCCAAATGGGCCCCAATCCAAGTGGGCCTCAGTCTTAATGGTTAAGGTACAGCTGGGAGGGAGCATACCAGTAACATGGGACGGTATGGAAGGAAATTACCCTAACATAACAGACAGATATAAAGCACCATCTATATAAAACTACACAAATGACCGTGGGGTAGTCTCTGTATGGTGTAACTGTCTTTGAACTATAGGTAATAAAAAATTTGTTTTGGGAGCTTTATGTGACACATCTTGCCTCCTTATTGAAATAAACATCTGACGCCTTTGTTGGCTATCCTTTATCAAATTGCCTTATTGTTTATCATTGGCCGCACTTTCTATAGACAGTACCTAGTAAGTGCTTTTAGAATTTGTATCTGCATTGGCTGTATATTGAACTGTATACACATTTGTCCATTGAACAGTGTAAACTTGTTTGATGATTTAATTATATCTATCTATCTATCTATTCATCCTCACCTGCACCATCCTCCTTCCCTCACCACTAGGTCCTCTTCCCATCATGCCTTCCCAAACACCGCCCCATTACATTTTTACCTTAAATTCCTAATATTTATTTCCGTCCTTTAGTAACCTAAAATAATCTATCTTAATATAATTACAATGAAATTTCACCTGTACAGTAAGTTACTAACACTGTAATCTATTTCTGACAAACTTTAAAGTCAGGTGCTTGACAGATGCCAATTCTCGCCATGACTGAACTGGAGCAAACCTATAATGCAACAAAGTTTACGTCGTATTGTTTTGGTTGGTGTGAGCTTGTTGTAGCCAGTCACGTTGTTAGTATTACTGTTTTCTTCCTGCTGGCGAGCAACAGAGTATATCTTACATGTAAACGATGTGAACAGGAGTGTAAAAGCTCTCAGGTCTTGTTAACGGAATGTAACAAGCTACTAACTTTGAAGCTTGGCACAACAGAATCTCTCTATGATGTAGGCTCACGGGGACGTATGATGTGAGTACGGGATATGATGAATGCTTCATATTACAGTATAAAGACTCACAATACAGTGTAATAGCTCAAAATACAGTACAATAAGGCTCACAATACAGTAGATAAAGCCTCTCACCAGTATAATAAAACCTCACAATACAGTATGATAAAGCCTCACAATACAGTAAGATAAAGCCTCACAATACAGTATGATAAAACCTCACAATACAGTATAATAAAGCCTCACAACAGTGAATGAAAGCCTCACATTTGAGCCTAATAAAGCCTTCACAATACAGTATGATAGCCTCACAATACAGTAAGGCCTCTCTGGCCTGATAGATAAAAGCCTCACAATATAGTATGATAAAGCCTCCACAATACAGTATGATAAAGCCTCTATCAGTATGTGAGCCTCTCACTACAGTGATAAAGCCTCACAATACAGTATGATAAAGCCTACATGCAGTATGATATAAAGCCTCTCATACAGTATGATAAAGCCTCACAATACAGTATGATAAAGCCTCCACAATACAGTATGATGAGCCTCACAACTGTATGATAAGGCCTCATACAGTATGATAAGCCTCACTTAATACAGTATGATAAGCCTCACAATACAGTATGATAAACCTCACAATACAATTAAGATAAAGCCTCTACAATACAGTATGATAAAACCTCTTATTACAGTATGATAAGCCTACAGTATCAGTATGATAATAGCCTCACAATACAGTATGATAAGAGCCTCCTATTCTGTAGATAAAAGCCTCCTGGTCTGTTATATGATCTGACAATACGGTATGATAAAGCCTCTACTGTATGTAGTAAAGCCTCACAATACAGTATGATAAAGCCTCACAATACAATAAGATAAAACTCACAATATAGTATGATAAAACTGACAATACAGTATTGTAGTAAAGCCTCCTGCAGTATTTTGTTAAAAGCCTCACAATATAGGTATGATAAAAGCCTCCAGTCTGATATGAATGGCCTCTATTATAGTATGATAAAACCTGACAATATAGTATGATAAACCTCACATTGCTGGTAGTGATTAAAACCTCCCAATACAGTATGATAAAAGCCTCACAATACAGAATAAGATAAAGCCTCACAATATATAGTATGATAAAACTCTGACAATACAGTATGATAAAACCTCCACAATACAGTATGATAAAACTACATATAGTATGATAAAATCTACTATACAGTAAGATAAAGCCTCACAATATAATTATGATAAAACCTGACAATACAGTATGTAAAGCCTCACAATATAAGTATGATATATAGCTTCACAATACAGTATGGTATAAAACCTGACAATACAGTATGATAAAGCCTCACAATACAGTATAATAAAGCTCACAATACAGTATGATAAAACCTGACAATACAGTAAGATAAAGCCTCACAATACAGTATGATAAAGCCTCACAATACAGTATGATAAGCCTCCTAATACAGTATGATAAAGCCTCACAATATGTGATAAAGCCTCACAATATAGTATGATAAAGCCTCACAATACAGTATGATAAAACCTGACAATACAGTAGATAAGCCTCACATACAGTAAGATAAGCCTCACAATTCAGTATGATAAAAGCCTCACAATACAGTATTGGCCCTACAATACAGTATGAGTAAAAAGCCTCACAATACAGTATGATAAAGCCTCACAATACAGTATGATAAAGCCACAATACAGTATAATAAAGCCTCACAATACAGTATGATAAAGCCTCACAATACAGTAAGATAAACCTCACAATGGTATGATAGCCTCACAATACAGTATGTGGTAAAACCTGACAATACAGTATAGAATAACTCACAATACAGTAGATAAAAGCCTCACAATACAGTATGATAAAGCCTCACAATACAGTATATAAGCCTCACAATACAGTATGATAAAGCCTCACAATACAGTATGATAAAGCCTCAACATACAGTATGATAAAACCTCTGATACAGTATATTAAAGCCACACAATACAGTATAATAAAGCTCCTATTACTGATACCTGTAAAGCCTCCTGGCATGGTAGATAAAGCCTCACAATACAGTATGATAAAGCCTCACAATACAGTATGATAAAGCCTCACAATACAGTAAGATAAAGCCTCACAATACAGTATGATAAAAGCCTCACAATACAGTAAAGTAAAGCCTCTACAGTACGTAAATTAAAAAGCCCTCAATACAGTATGATAAAGCCTCACAATACAGTATGATAAAGCTCTAAGCTTATAGATAAAGCCTCACAATACAGTAGATAAAGCCTCCTAATACAATGGAATATGACCTCACAATATAGTATAATCTGATACTCACAATACAGTAGATAAATGCCTACAATATAGTAAGATAACTCCACATGACACAGTAGATAAAAACTCTAATACATTAAAAGGTAAAGCCTCACAATACAGTATGATAGCCTCAGAATATTAGCAAGTAATGCCTCTAATACTGTACGGTATGATAAAACCTCAATAGAGTATAATAAAGCCTCACAATACAATAAAGGCTTTAAACATCAAGCTTCGAGAATCATGACTAAATAAACTTCGAATATAACTTCAGTAGTCACCACCAAGTTCACTAAGATAACTGGATATGATCAAGAGGTAGACACTAAAGATAACTGGATATGACCAAGAGGTAGACTAAGATAACTGGATATGACCAAGAGGTAGACTAAGATAACTGGATATGACCAAGAGGTAGACTAAAGATAACTGGATATGACCAAAAGGTAGAGTAAGAGATAACTCGGATATGGCCAAGAGGTAGGTAAATAACTGGATATGACCAAGAGGTGAACTAAGATAATAACTGGATATGACCAAGAGGTAGACTAAATAACTGGATATGACCAGAGGTAGACTAAAAGGACTTGATATGACCAAGAGGAGACTAGATACTTGGATATGACCAAGAGGTAGACTTATAGATAACTGGATATGACCAAGAGGTAGACTAAGATAACTGGATATGACCAAGAGGTAGACTAAGATAACTGGATATAACCTGAGGTAGACTAAAGATAACTGGATATGAGCCAAGAGGTAGATAAAGATAACTGGATATGACCAAGAGGTAGACTAAAGATAACTGGATATGACCAAGAGGTAGACTAAAGATAACTGGATATGTGATAATTCAATGTTCTCTGTAATCACTGTTGGTAAGTGACAAATGTATGTTTCTCACGAGGTTTATAAAGTCCTTAGGTTTATAGTTTTATAAACCCTGGGAGTTATACTGATAAACACCACTATGTACAGTAGTTTAAACGCTATCTTGCAAACTTTGTGGAAACATTGAGACCATGGGTGATAGATTTTATGAGGCTGTCACTAGTCACACGTAAATTTTCGGAGCATATCGGCCCCCCTGCACAGATAGTTGTTTTGGTTCTGTGCATGCTTCTTCTTTCCTGCAGTTACTTGTTTTACAGACTATTAGAATGCCTGCATAGAAGTGGTAACGGGACGAGGCGGAGGGTTAGTTACTGAATTCGTAATTAAATATATACGATGGTTTAGATGTGTAATTTCCCTAAGGCGCTCTATATATATATATGTATCTGAAATTGTTTGCTAGTGATGATATAAACTAAGAGGTGGTGGTTGGGTGACGGTTCAGCAGTAAATCTATGAGGAGGATATGAGCAAGCATAGTGTCACATCACGTAATTTGGCTCATTCATATAAGTGGTACAGTTAAGTTGTGGCATTATTGTATGGTTTGGGTTGTTCGTGCGACAACTGGCCTTATAAATCTTGTCTAATTAGTGAACTCGACTACCGCACTGCTGGAGACGACGTCA